AAATTCTTGAAAAACCTTATAACCGTGGTTTTGAACTCTATATCCAGTAGTTTGCTTTCCTCCATTTCTGTCATTTGTGACCTGTTTCTTTGTCTCCGCATTTTGTATGCTTCCCTGTGTTGGCAGAATGGTTTTGTGTGCTAGGTGTCCTGTAGGGCCCAGTGGCTCAGCCTCCCCAGTTACCTGAGGTAGACACTCTTGGTGCATGCCCTTGTGGGCTTTGTGCACAGTCTTGTTTTAGCTATGCCTTGGTTGCTGTAGAATCACTGGGAGGAATCAACCTCCAGGCCAACTGGCTGCGAGAATCCGCTGTGTCTATGGTGGGAGAACTTCTGTGCTGGAGACACCCTTCTGGGGAAAGCCTTGCTTCAGTGGGGCTTTGGTGCTCACTGAGTCTGCCCTCTGAGTGTGTCCCTTATAGATCTGAGGAGTTGTAATCTGGATGGTCCCACTCTGACCCATCGGTACACTGCCTCTTGGATCTCTAAGGAGGTGCTAATTTAGCCCTGCCTGAAGCTACCCAGCAGGAGCTATGGAGAGATCTGCAGATTCCTCTTCTTTGTTTGGGATTTGGAGATGCCCAGATGAGGCCCAGCTCTGAAGCAATGCAAGCTGCTGTGGGGCCCTGGGCCTTGTTTTGGAAGTTCTGGGTCTCTCTCCAAGTACTGACACTTCTGAGGAGCACACAGGCAGCAAGGGGAGGTGGGTGGGGCCGGTGCTGCCATCTAAAGCCCGAAGCTGCTGGTGGTCTTCTGCACAGTGGGCCACCCTTGTCCTGATCAAGCTCTGTGGCTTCTGCTCCTTGGTCCAGTGCTGTCCTGCCCTCCACCCTGCTCCCACGGGGGCTCCAAGACCCAGCCCTGTTTTCCTTGGGCCCTAGGTCATCTCCCCCTTTCCCTTGACATTGGGCCCTGCCTGTGCCGAGTGCCCTAGCTCCTGACAGCCCCTTTGCCACCACTTCACCCTCAGGCACTGCCAACCCACCTCCTTACCTCAGCCTCCCCTGGCCCTGGCTGCAGTGCTCAGATCCTCCTGGTCTCTCTGGAATCCACCTCTCAGGCCGGACCATTCCTTCACATTCCCAATGGGCTCCTACCTGCCTGGGCCGCTCCCACTCAGTGCCAGACCATAGCCCGTGATCTGTCACAGTTCACAGAACTAGGCCTGTGGTACTCACTCTGGTGCTCAGCCCCACACGAGCCCTAGAATCTGTTCCTCAGGTGCTCACTATTCCCACCTATCAGGCCATTCCCTCGGCCTGACTTTCAGTGTGGTTCCCTTTTCATTAAACAGTAATTAAATGGGGGCTTCACATGCCACCTCCTGCAGGAAGCC